GGGGGCGGGGCGGCGCGGATGGCCGAGGGGCGGCCAGGGACGTGACATCATCGGGGGAGGAGCGGCCGGGCCCGGGCCGCGGTGGCGGGGCGGACCCTGGCGAGTCGGTCGCCGGGGTTGGGGGCTGCGGCCTGCCTGAGGCCGCAGGAGGGAGCTGGAGGGGCCGGCGGAGGCCCGGGAGGCCCGAACAGGGAGGATCCAGGGCTGGGCGGCGAGGGAGCTCAGCAGCAGCCAAAGGAGCATGCCACGCCGCGCTCTGGAACCTCCACTGCCTCCCCGTCTCCACCGGACGAAGCTCCGGCGTCTTCGTGGCCTCGTCTCCCTTCCCCAAGTGCCTGCCGTACTCTCCACGTTGACGCCTTGTTACTGGACTTGCTGCTTATTTTGACGCCTTCAATCCTTGACTCTTAGTGTTCTTCGCCCGCATTTCCCCTGGCGAACCTGACCTCGGTTTAACCGCAGCCTAGGACTCCAACCTCTTCCGGTCGTAGGCTGGGGCCCCAGATAAACGGCGCAGCTCTCCCCAACCCCCATCCTATTCACTGTCCCTGGATTGCCTCAACCTAAAGCCTTTCCGTTACCAACCTGTGCTCTTCAGAAACCTTTTAATTTCTGATCCCAAGTGTCCAGTGTTAGAGCTGGGAGCCCAGCGCAGCCCGCTCTTCCTCCTCAGCTGTCCCCCCTTTCAGATCTCATTCCTCTTTTGTTAGTTCCTTGTCCGCCCTTGACCATGGGGCAGAGCCATTTGTGCGTCTTCCCCCACATTCTGGCCTGGTGTGTCCTGGCCCGGCTTTCAACAAGCCTAGAGTGAGTCCAGCACTTTCCTGCCCCTGCCTGCTGCTTTCATTTTCAGCCATGCCTGGAGTATCACTTTCCCTCCCCCACTGACTCCCATTCTCCTTTGGGGAACCTCCAAGTGTGCAGTTAGTGTCTTGCCACCTTGACCCAGACAAAGGATCTCAGGGGTGCTGCCTGGCTTCCCACCACCCTAAACGTTCCCCTACCTCCTCTCCTGACCTCTTTCCTCTTTACCATCACTCTTATCTGTCCTCCTTCCCATCACCTGCAGGGACTGTCACTCCCACCCAGACTCTTCAAGGTCTCAGGTTTTACCCTAAATGGAATTATTAAAGGCAGGTCTCTCCTTAAGGTGAATTGTTGCGCCAATCACTTTCTCTATCTCCTTATGCTCATCTGATACTCCAAAACCTTACTCCTCACAGTGTGGTCCCTGGACCAGCAGCATCGACTATACCTGGGAGCTTGTTAGAAATACAGAATCTCAGGCCCCATCCCAGGCCTGCTGAATCAGAACCTGCATTTTAACAAGCTCCCAGGTGATTTGTGTACACATTACATTTGAGAAGCATTGCTCTAGAGAAACTCCCCCAAACTGTTCTGTACTTGCACCACCCCTCCCCCCAACCTTCAAATCTACCTCTGGCTTTCTAACTTCCAGCAGCACTCTGCCTCTTGCTTGGTGGAGAGGATACAGGGCATCTTGGCAGCACCCTGGCAGCTCTCTCAGCCCCTTCGTGCTCTTGGATGTGTCTCCGTCTTGTCTCCCAGTCTCTTCTCCTCTGCCTTGGGGAAGGATGTGGACTCAGGGGCCTCTTTGGTTGGTCCCATCTCTGTCCCTCCTGATGTTGCTCTGTCGGCTCTCCTGTTCTTGTCTTGATCTTCCCTCTTTCCTCTGCTCAGACCTCCCCATTCTTGAAAGAACCCTTCCCTTGTGCCTGCCACTTTCTTCAATGGCTACCCCTCCTGAGAAAGTTCAGCGGAGCACTCTATCTGAGGATGCCCCGACAGAGTCCAGCAAGCCACTCCCAAACCCTCATGGTCAGGCTCCCTTCCAGCTCGCCTGCTGCCTGCTCCTGCTCTCAGATCCCAGGCCAGGCTCTCTGACCTCCCTGTAGCAGTGGGCTCCCCACACCTCCCCCTTCCCCACACAGCTGGGAAGCCATCCTCCATGGTGAGAGCAAACTGTTTCTCCCTTACCCTCTGAGCAGACCCTTAGGCTGCTGTGCTCCCTTCTCCCCTCTTTCCCTCAGAGAACTCCTGCTCCATCACAGCCTCAGAGGCCATCTTTGGGGAAATGATCATCATGTGTGGGCCACTGTCCTGCTTCTGTTAGTCCTGAACATCAACTGGTGAGAACAAAGCTGGGCTTGACCTTGGGGAAGGGGGGAGCACTTCTCTGGGCAGGGGAGGGTCCTCATTACAAGTGGCCCTGCCTCTGGACCCAGGGTGGGACTGTTTGTCCACATGCCCAGGCCACATCTGTGTCTGTCCCCTGTGTCTGTCCATGGCACCTCTGATAATCTCCTCGCCTTGGCCCCAAGCCACCTGTTTGTCAGGTCTTACGGAGTCTCCTTTCCATGGCCCTCTCCCTACCCCAGTGCCTACAGCTAACATCTTTAACAATGAAAATGTCTTGTCTTCCATTGTGTTCTACTCTGGCTGGGAGGAGAAATCTGCCCCATTTCTGGCCACTGCCTCCTATCTGTCTCCCTGCCATCCACCATCCTCCTGCCAAAAGATTTTAAAAGTATTGCTTGAATTAGGCCATCACCTGCTTAGAAACTTTCAGATGTCTCTCCTGCTTGCCCCTAAAAGAGGACCGGCTCAATTTAGGGACATTTGAGAAACTTTGATGCCTGATCCAAATCTCCCTTCCCAGCCTTCTGTCCATTCCCTCACTGTGTGCATTTCTTGCTCATCTGACATGGAAAATCTCACCGTTTCCCAAACACATCTTCTGTCTTCTCAGCTCCATGCCTTTACTCTGACTTTTACCTCCAACTGGAATGACTTCACTTCCAGAACACCTTCCTTCCCTGGGAGGCAACGGGGTCTACTTTCCTTTTCATGATGGTTAAAATGCTTTGGTGTTGCAAACCATCATGGTTCTGGAAGGCTCTTTCCAAGGTCGATTTGAGGGAGAGGCGCTCAGAATGACCCTGAGGCAGAAGGGGGAGTTGGCCAGCCTGGGAAAGTGACATCGAGCTAAGGCTCAGTCATAAGCTGGGAGGAACTCTGGACTTGTGTGTTTCTATTCTATTCTAACCACGTGGGATTGAAAGAAACATGTTAGCATGGCATTCGAGGCTTCCTAGGGCCTGCAGCCCTGGAGAAGAGCTCCTGGGTTAGAGCCACTGAACCGCGGGGCGAGGCCTCTGTGTGAGGAGGGCACCTCTTGGGCCCAGCAGATAGAAGGCCAATGAGTAAATTTTGGGTCAGCCCTTGGGGTCAGAGGTTAGAATCTCTGCTTTAGACCTAGTCAGAAAACTTTTTCCTGCAACTTTTTATGTGTGCTCTTATTTTTGTGTTATTTATGGGTAAATTTCACTTTACAAACTGCTGCACCGTCTCCATGAGAAAGGGGCTTTGGGACCTGTTGTGGCTACGGGCCACAGAGAGCTAGAGAAGTGATGGTGACAGATCGAGGAGGTTGAGTCCAAGCCCGCAGAGAATGCCAGTCCTGTCTGGCCCACCCGGGGGCTCAGCCCGTACCCGCAGCCCAGAGCCTCTGACCTCCTCCTTCTCCTTTATGTGCCATGGGCATTTGTGCCCATGCCCATGGGAAGGGCTCTTGCCATGTGCCCAGTGCTGGAGAATAAGCAAAGAATAAAACACAGGCCATGCTCTTATGGAGCTCACAGTCTGGTGGTGGGAGACTTGCAGACACTCAGTGCTGCTCCAGAGTCCGCTCCAGAGTGACCTGGGTGGTAAAGAAGCAGGGACAAGCACAGAAAGAGAGCCTGAGCCGGAGGGGGAAGAGTTGCTCAGTGGAAGGATCAGCACAGGTAAAGCACAGCAGAGTGGGTTGGTGCACTTGCTTCAAGGTAGAAGGTTTTAGCCTCTGGAGCATCACGCTGGCACCTAGTATGCCATGCTAAGGGGCTTGGAAGTTTTCTGTAGGCCTCGGCTTTAAAACAGTGTTTTTTAATCAGCAAAACTTTTCTGTCCTTTTATTTTCCATAAGGGATGCAAGGGCATAGAAAACAGATCCAA